CTCACCGCAACCTCCACCTCCTGGGTTCAAGCAATTCTCCTGCCTCAGCCTCCTGAGTAGCTGGGACTACAGGCACGCGCCACCATGCCCAGCTAATTTTTTGTAGTTTTAGTAGAGACGGGGTTTCACCATATTGACCAGGATGGTCTCGATCTCTTGACCTCGTGATCCACCCGCCTCGGCCTCCCAAAGTGCTGGGATTACAGGCTTGAGCCACCGCGCCCGGCCCTGTTTTCATATTCTTATAGCCAGCTGTTTAATTTGCATCAAGCCTTTTTGGGGAAAGTCATCTCTTATTGCCATTTTTCTTCCTTTTTTTTTGAGATGGAGTTTCGCTGTTGTTGCCCAGGCTGGAGTGCAGTGGCGCAGTCTTGGCTCACTGCAACCTCCACCCCCCAGGTTCAAGCAGTTCTCTTGCCTCAGCCTCCCAAGTAGCTGGGATTACAGGCATGTGCCAACATGCCCGGCTAATTTTTTATATTTTTACTAGAGACAAGGTTTCATCCTGTTGGCCAGACTAAGTCTCTTGAACTCCTGACCTCAAGTGATCCACCCACCTTGGCCTCCCAAAGTGGTGGGATTACAGGTATGAGCCACCTCACCCAGCCTTATTGCTATTTTTTTTTTTTTTTTTTTTGGCCTTTCACTGGTAACTCTTAAAATTCAGGGAAGCTTATGATTTGTAAATCAAACCAGGATGCTTGAAGATCAGACTTGTGGTTTTTTGTTTTGTTTTTTGTTCGAGTTGGAGTCTCTCTCTGTTGCCCAGGCTCGAGTGCAGTGGCACCATCTCGGCTCACTGCAGCCTCTGCCTCCTGGGTTCAAGCAATTCTCCTGCCCCAGCCTCCCAGGTAGCTGGGGCTATAGGTGCACACTGCCATGCCCAGCTAATTTCTTTCTTTTTTTGAGATGGAGTTTCACTCTTGTTGCCCAGGCTGGAATGCAATGGCAAGATCTCGGTTTACCGCAACCTCTTCCTCCTGGGTTCAAGTGATTCTCCTGCCTCAGCCTCTCGAGTAGCTGGGATTACAGGCTATGTACCACCACGCCTGGCTAATTTTGTATTTTTAGTAGAGACGGGGTTTCTCCATGTTGGTCAGGCTGGTCTCGAACTCCCTGCCTCACGTGATCTGCCTGCCTCAACCTCCCAAAGTGCTGGAATTACAGGCCTGAGCCACCATGCCCAGTCTGGCTAATATCTTTTGTATTTTAGTAGAGACCAGGTTTCACTGTGTTGCCGAGGCTGGCCTTGAACTCCTGAGCTCAGGCAATCTGCCTGCCTTGGCCTCCCAAAGTGCTAGGATTACAGATGTGAGCCACCAGGCCCGGCCAGCCTTGTGGTTTTTCACAGTGAAAGCGTATGTGATGGTGTGGAGTGATGTGACAGGAAGACCAATTAATTTCTGGACTCTCACTTAAATTTATCTTGAAGTAGTATGAATACAGGCTTTTTGTAATTTATTTTGAATTACTGAATAAGAAGAACATTTATTTCTTGAGAAGAGACCTAAGGTATTAGATAGGGCTAGCTCTTTGCAAAAAGTCAGTAGCATTGTTTCTGCTTCTCTCTCCCAGATCAAGCACTGCACCTAGCAGAAATTTTACTACCTCTCCAAAATCATCAGCAAGTCCCTATTCCTCAGTGTCTGCCTCTCCCATTGCAAATGGTGATAGCACTAGCACCTCTGGGATGCACAGTTCCGGTGTCAGCAGGGGGTAAGAGCAGGTCCTTACACTCTGCTTCCTTTCCCTCAGTCCTTTCCCAGGCTGTATCTTGAGAGCTCATCTGCTGCTACACAAAGCATAGTGGGGTTAGAGCCTCATGGGAACATGCTGCTTGTAGTTCTCACTCCATTTCATACCTATAGTGCTTCCAAGTTCTGATCTGTGTTGCTTATCCTCCTGTGAGCTGGTGTTTTCCCCACAGCCTACATCACAGGCAGTCTAAGGGATTCACTCCATTTGTTTATGAAGGGATGGGCTGGCACATATGGCAGAATAGTTGTGAAGGAACAGTGCTCAGCTGTGAATGGCCTTGATACTTTCTCTAAGCATTTCAGGCACACCTGCCACATGGCATAGATGGGGAAAAGAGGGCGAATGAGGTGAGGAAGTGTGCATGAACACTCAGGGCCAGGCAGGGCTGGGTGTGGCCTGGTGGTTGGTAGCAGATGCAAGCTCTTGATAACAAATGTTCTTCTATAAAGTTACCTGGCAAAATTAGCATTTGCCAGAGCCTTATAGGAAAATTCAAATAGTATTTCTTTCCTTAAGATGTGCTTACCGGCCGGGCGTAGTGGCTCACGCCTGTAATCCAAGCACTTTGGAGGCCAAGGCTGATGGATCACCTGAGGTTGGGAGTTCAAGACCAGCCTGACCAACATGGTGAAACCCCATCTTTAAAAAAAAAAAAGATGTGCTTACCAACTGCAAGCATGTCAAATCAAGGGTGGGGCAGGTCTGGAGGGCAGGAGAGGGGGTAGAGGGAACTTGGATCATGGGCTTGCTACCACACATAAGCTCTAGAGGCCCCCATATGAGCCTCAAAAAGCATTTTGAGGGCATGTGTTAAGCACTTGCTTTTATTGCTGATGTGTGTTGTGTTTTCCAGTGGATCTGGCTTTTCTGCTTCGTATAATTGTCAGGAGTCACCGTCATCTCATATACAACCTGGGCTCTGTGGACTCGGAAATCTGGGAAACACCTGCTTCATGAACTCCGCCTTGCAGGTAGAGGAGAGAACTTCCATTCAAATAACATGGCATCTTGAGGCTTGGGTGGGAGCGGCCTGCAAAGGTCCTGGGTGGATACTCTCCCAGGAGTCCCTGCCTATCCCTTGTTAGTGTTTCAGTAGTCTCTGCCAGGGCATCTCCCATTAGGTGGTATAGAACGGCTTCATCAGTGTTTGTGGTCCCAGATGTCTTTGTAGTCAGTTCCATGTTTTTTTTTTTTTTTTTTTTTTTTTAAAGGCAATTTTATAACTTTATTTGATGTATTTGATGATCAGCGGTTAGTTCTCATCCACATTGACTGTAGATTTTTGAAAGTGGTAACATGTACATAGGTAACCAAAGTATACAGCTTATTTGGTGAATCTTCATCCTCATTATGTTTTCTGGACAACCGCACCCGGATTTGGTATGGGACATTCCTTATTCCTTTGGCCCAGACAGCTTTGTTGAGCCTGGTATCATTGCACACATCTGGAGTTCCCATCTCCATGGCAAATTTCTGAATCTCTTTGAGTGCCCGAGGGGCACAATTCTTGAAGCCCACTCCATGGATGCACTCGTGAATGTTGATGGTGTATTCTCAGGTCACCATGTCATTGATGGCAAAACAGCCCTTTTTCTTCTTTCCACCCTTCTTTGCGGGAGCTATTCTGCCGGGTCCAAGTTAAAAAGCATTTTTTTTGTGATGGAATCTTGCTCTGTTGCCTGGGCTGGAATGCAGTGGCACAATCTTGGCTCGCTGCAACCTCTGCCTCCCGGGTTCAAGCAGTTCTCTGCCTCAGCCTCCCAAGTAGCTGGGATTACAGGCACACACCACCACACCTGGCTAATTTTTGTATTTTTACTAGAGATGGGAGTTCACCATCTTGGCCAGGCTGGTCTTGAACTCCTGACCTCTTGACCTACCTGCTTTGGCCTCCCAAAGTTCTGGGATTACAGTCGTGAGCCACTGTGCCGGGCTGTGTTTGATTTTATAGTAAAATTATTTTGAATTTTATTGACTGTTGAGGTATGATCTGTCTAGGAAATATTGGAGTGCTTGCCTGATTGGTCTCTGATGGGATGAGGAAAACTTAACAGCAGCTCACTTATGCCTTGCTGAAGGCTGACTACCTTTTCACTAAAAATAGCTGTCCCATCCCCTGCTCCTTACTAGAGAAAATCCAAAATCCTGTCTTTGAAACCTTGTTTATTGGTCAGGCACAGTGGCTCACACCTGTAATCACAACCCTTTCAGAGGCTGAGGGGGTACGATTGCTTAAGCCCAGGAGTTTGAGGCCAGCCTGGGCATCATAGCAAGACCCTGTCTCAAAATGGGAAAGAAAAGAAAACTCGTTTATTCATGCATCAAATACTTGGCATATATTATGTGACAGCACTGTGATAGTCATGGTCTGCAAGAGGTTGAAGTCCAGTTTCAAAGTTAGGAGGGCACAGTCCCCATGACTGCCCTCATTTTCGAAACCAACTGAAAGTTTGCAGGTTCCCAATACCATCTTTAGTTTTGATAATTTGTTAGAAAGAGTCACGAAATTCACTTAAATTTATTATAACCAGGATGATGGTTTATTCTAGTGAGAGGATGTAAACTGAAATCAGCCCAAGGAAGAGGCATATAGGGCAGAGGTCAGC